TCAGGCGAAATGAAGGCTACTACATACTGGGATCCATTATTTCATGGGCTTCTATAGAATACTGAATTTTTTTCCAATACCTGTAAATGACTAATTTCTCCTTCCCTCAGCTTTAGCTGAGACTGCAGATTTTCAATAATGCTTGATCCTGCTCCCATCCTTACAGCTTCATATATATTGCTTCCACTGGCTGATGTAGACATTGGCCCAAATGAATGGTCATGAGACTCATCCTATTCGGTTAAACAAACACAGACAATTATCATACATTATGTTCTACTAGTAAATCCAAGCAAAAGATACAGTTAATTCTTGTTTTGAAATGTTTGGGAGTTTTTTCAAATGCAGAAAGTCATCTGTATTTCTTCACTTTAATTAGCACTATATTCTGGTGAATTCCCCAACAAGGTCCCGGTGACAGCCAACCTGACAACTATGTGCTCCCTTTACCATTATTAAGGTAAGAACTTAGCACATGCAAGAAAGGTAAGCCATTACCTGAGACAGAAAAGACATCTGCAGCCCTGCCATATCTACTGCACTTATTGAACTCGAGCGTGACATGGAGGGAGTACTAGAAACAGAAAACGGCTTGGGGTCCTGCGGGAGAAAAACACTCTGTAAGACTGAAGAGCAAACAATAGAGGAAGCAAGGAAAACTTCTAGAATAAAAACAAAGGCATTAAATCTCTCCATGGTACATTATAGATATGATCTCTCAAAGCCAGACATCTTAGAAATATAAAAGGCATTCAAAAATTAAGAGCTGATGGCAAGATGGTTCAGCAGTAATGATGCTGCTTCCAAGCCTGATCTGAGTTCAATTGCAGGACTCATATGGTAAAGGAGAGAGACACAACTCTAGCATGTTGTCTTCTGACCTCTACACATATATCATGGGATGTATGCACACATGCATAACCACACACCCACAGACACGCACACATACACACACATACACAGACACACACACACCTGAGTATGTATATTAAAAACATTTTAAATTAAAATTTAAAGCCAGCTTTGTCTGATTTATAACACAATCAGCTGGGTTTGTGTGGGGGGTATGTTAATGGAATGAGAATGCTTTGGTTGAAAAGCCTACAGAAGCTAACTATGTCATATTATGTAATATATTATCAATTATTCTTAAGTTGCTAAAATTTCTGACTTATTCACTTTATTTTAGTGTATTAAAAGCAAAAAAACAGCTGGGTGGTGGTGGCACAGGCCTTTGATTCCAGCACCTGAGAGGCAGAGGCAGGTGGATCTCTGAGTTAGAGGCCAGCCTGGTCTACAGAGTGAGTTCCAGGACAGCCAGGGCTACACAGAAAGAACCTGTCTGGAAAAGTAAACAAATAGAAAACCCAAATAACAAAATAGTTGGAGGCTGGAGAGATGGCTCAGCAGTTAAAGAGTACTGGCTTAAGAGAACCAAGGTTCAATTCCAGACAGGGACATAGTGACTCACTGTCACTTGTTTCTGATGCCATCTGGTGGCTTCCACAGATATACTGCATGCATGTGCAACAGACAAACATGCAAATACTCACAACATAAAATAAGCATAAAATAAAAAGTTACAAAAACTCCAAATACATTTAAAAGGTAATTTCCATTTTTGTGTACTTATTTTAACATATTGTGTTAACTCTAAGTATGCTAAAATTCTTTAAGTATAGAAAACAGATTTTGTAAAAAGTGCCTTTAGGAGCCAGGAAGGTGGTTTAGTGCAGAAAGCATGGAAAGCAGAGTCCAGATCCCTAAAACCTATAGACGAGCCAGGCAAATGTGGTGGCTGCCTATTATCCCAGCACTCAGGAGGCAGAGCAGGATTCCTGCGATAAGCTAGCTAATTAACTAGCCAGAATCAACTAGCTCCAGGTTTAGCAAGAGACTTGCCTCAATAAAACAATGGAAAGAATAATTGAGGAAGACAACCAGTGTCAACTCTGGGCCTCCACATGATGTGGACAGACACACCTGAGCATAGGCAAACCCGCATACACAAATTCATGTGCACTGCACAGATATACATGCAATAAAAATAAACAACAACAACAACAACAAAAACCTCACTACATTTATTAATGAGAAAAATACAAGAAGCCAACTTTCTTCTGAGGTAGCCTTTGGGCCATTTGCTACACTGGTTTCAGTGAGAAATCACAAAATTCATTTTTACAAGTACATTTTCTATAATTCAAAACCAATCATAGACCAACGTGAATGCACTCAAATGAATTCACGTCTGTTCTACATTCAGCACTGACAATGCTACCACAAGAAATCAGGTTAGTAATTTTAGAAGGGTAAAAACTTAAGACATCAGTACAACTAAACCACAGACCGATCGATCCATGGCCACCCACAACAGCTAAGCTATATAAATCATCACAAACCAACACAGTTCAGTACCTTTTCTTTTACTGCTTCTTGAGTGAAAATGTTTTTCTTCCTTTCTTGTTCAACTTTCATTTTTTCCATTTCTAACTGACTGCACAACAGTGTCTAAAGGAGGGAGATACAGTGAGATCATTTTTGAGATACTAACCCATGGCACCACAATGAGTTAACTGCCAAGTTCAAGAGTGTGAAATATAGGCTGCCATCTCACTACCAAAGACAAGGTTCCATGTGCCCATCTTATCTCCTCAGCAGTTACTGCCAGCCCCGTCCATCTCTAATGTAAGCCCTGGGTTAGGGGGCAGGGTGAAACAAACACTAAAAAATACCTTTTCTTTCCTTGTCTCTTCAAGTGTTCTTACATACTCATCTTTTAGGTTTCCTAATTCAACCTGGTACCTAGTAAACCAGAAGGAATTAAACAAAAGAAGTGATAGTACAGGCTGTTAAAAACAAGCGGAGACTTGTTAAACCCCAGTTACATATTTATAAGTCCCTTAATATCAGCTCAGACTTTCCAGCTAGCTGTCCTAGATCAGAGACTCACTCATCAGCTAAAGCACAAGAGAAAAGTTCCACTTTTTTCCCCATTTTTTTAACCAGTACTCAGAGACTTAAAATGAGATATTTAAACAGTAATTTTAAGAGTCCCCATTCCAAGCTCAAATGTGGCAAAAAAGCAGCGGTTCTACAGAAAGTTCACGGAAGTTCAGACATTTCGTTTTTACTTATCTACTTTTCTTAAAAGTACATTTTCTTTGGAAGCCAAGGGTAAAAACATGCCCATTTTGACCTTATGTAATTTCAGATATGTGATTTTATAGCCCATGGTTTCAGGATAACACAAACACTAATTTAGAAAAAACTGGAAAACTGCATAGTCATACCTCCTTCCTTCCCTCCTCCTTTCCTTTCTGCTGGTGGCATTAAACTCTTTACCAAAAAAACCAAAACAAACAAACAAACAAACAAACAAACAAAAAAAAACCTATACTAATGGGACAAATATTTTACCTGGAAAAAATATAATACATGTAGAACAAAGCATACAACTTCAAAAGAAGTGCATATCACTAATGACGGTGACTTTAGATAATGCACGTTATTCACTTTTAGTTCTCAATGAAATGAAGCTAAAACCTAACAAAAATACTTTCCAGTGGTGCTTTAGAATATCATGGATCCAGGCAAATATACTCACCGATTATTTTCATCCTCCAGTTTTCTTACATTATTTTTCTCTGACTCTAGCTGGGCCTGCAGTCTGCTGTTTTCCTGCCGTAACAGTGCATTCTGTGACTCCACTGAAGACATCTGGGTTTTGTTGGCAAGGAGCTCTTCTGTAGCTGCACGTTCCCTCTCAACTGCTGCAGCCAACAAGGTCTGTGACTCACCTGATATAGAGGAAGAAAATCACACACATATGCCAGGGAAAGATCAGACACTAGGTTGGCTCAGATGTCAAATTTCTATCTAATATCTCAAACTTCTAGACTAAGACAAGTCTGCCAACTGATACAAGGAGCAACCATCAGTTAACGCAAAAGTTAGCATTCTCTCCTCAGAGGAGTTAGTTACCTGAAAACAGTTATTCAGTAACAGGGCAGAGTCAAGACATAGCACTGGAACAACCGAATATCCACAGGAAGAGTAGACCAATAAAAGATAAACAGAATAAAGATGGAGTCTTTCAAACCATTAAACTTCTGCAGTAGGTGAAAAGGATGAAAAGCCAATCAGGCTAGGAATGGAGATTAACTGGTTGTTTGCCTGCATAGCATGCATAAGGTCATGGGTTCATCCCTGCACTGCACAAACCAAGGCTGGTGGTGCACTCTATCACTCCATAACACAAAGGCTTGGCGAAAGGGGCAGGAAGATCAGGGGTCCATCTTCATACCTAGAGAATCTGCGGTCAGCCTGAGATACCCTACCTCCTTCTTTCTTTCTTTTAAATAAAAGGACAAGACACGATACAAACTGGGAAAAAATAAATGCAAGTCACACCTGTAAGTTTAGTGCTTAGATATAGATAAAACTCTAAAAGGTGAAAATATAGACAGTCTAGTTAAAAAATGAGTAAACACTATGAATGGACAGTTGATCCTCAAGTGTGGCCAAGTCGAAAACAAACATATGAAACAAATGCTCAGCATCAATTATCATTAGGAAAAAGAAAATTAAAATTATGGGATATAAGAATTTCTGAATGATAAATTAAAACAAAACAAAACAAAAAAACAGAAAGACTAGGGACAACCAAAAGGCTACCGAGGTTGTGAACAAATTGGATTATTCCCACAGATACAGCCACTGTGAAAACAGTTCAGCATTTTCTGAGAACTAAACATGAACATCCACATGGCCCAGCAATTGAATATTTGGTCCTTTATCCAGAGACATGAAAATTTACAGCCAAATTCACTCCTGATCACAGACATTTATAGCAGCTTTACCCATAATAGTCAAACCCTGGAACCAGACCAGAACCCTTCCCCACTTAAACTATGGAACGGACATTCCAGAAACTGACACTCAGCCATGAAAAGACAAGTATAGAAATGTTGATAACTTTTAAATTTTTATTTATTTATTTGTGTAGGCTAGTTGTAAATGAACAGAGAATATTCCCTATTCAGTCAAATTTCACTTAGCCAATTTCAATGTCCCAAAGTTTAATTAACAGAACAGGGAAGCTGCCCTGAACTGAACTCAACACTCTGGGGTGATAACTTCTATGTGCATTTCAGAAAATAATGCTGAGACAACAAAGCCAATTTCTCTCTCTCTCTCTCTCATTTTTAGACAGGGTTTCTCTGTGTAACAAGCCCTCGCTGTCCTGGACTTGATTTGTAGACCAGGCTGACCTTGAACGCAGAGATCTGCCTACCTCTGCCTCTTGAGTGCTGGGATTAAAAGCATGCAACACCATGCCCAACTTAACAAAACCAATTTCAAACTGCCACATACTATGTAATTCTACTACTTTAACATTTTTTTAAAGATTTAAAAAAATTTGTGTGTGTGCATGTTCTGGTACCTTCAGATACCAGAAGAGGGAGTCATATCCTTGGAGGTGAAGTTACAGACAGTTGTGAACCACCTGATGTGGGCATTAGAAGCTGAACTCAAGTCCTCTGGAAGAGCAGCAAGAGTTCTTAACTGGAGAGTATCTTCTCCAGTCCCATACCTTAGTATGTTTGAAACAACAAAAGTTTAGAAATGAAGACAGACCATGATGTTCATGGATGTGTGACAGGGAAGGGAGAGTATGAACAGATGGTGGGTGCATGTGTTTATAAGAGCAGCAGGGGTAATCCATGTGATATTGGGAATGTTTAGCATGTTCAATATGGTACGTAAAGGAAACTACACAATTGGTAGAATTGTGTAGCACTAGTACATAATATACAAGTACAAATAAATACACAAGTACAAATAACATGAGTACAAATAAAATACGAGTACAAATGAAAGTGGAGAAATCTAAATAAGACTGATAGATTATATATGCCTATGGTATTATATATTCATTTTATAAAATGCTAATATTTGGAGAAATCAGAAAAAATACACTGAACCTGATTATCAATACAAATTTCAATGGAAACAAAGGAGCAGTAGATAAGGCTTGCCTAAGGTTTAACCAAACCAGTGGTTCTTTCCACTATTTTTCTTGTTATGCTAACTTTTTTTATGTGTCTGTGCCAGTTGTGTGCAGAGATCTGTAAAGGTCAGAGTTACAGGTGGTTGTGAATCACTTGGCAGGTGCTGGAACTGAACATAAGTCCTTTGGAAGAACAGTCAGTGCTCTTAGGCACTTAACCATCTCTCCAGCCCAATTCTTTCATTTTTTTTTTTCCTTGTTAAGACAGACCTGGCAACATCTCTAGGTTACCTTGTATCCCTAGCGTATTTATGATCTTCTTAGCAGTTTACTGTCTGTCTGTGTCTCTGCCTGTATTCCAGCAGATTATCACACATTCCTAAGGGCAGGTAGTCTTCAATCTAAAATCCACAAAGTACAAATTCTAGCCTTCATTTATTGCTGTTTACTTAATGCTAAATAAATGTTCACTGTAGAAGGTGTTAATATCAGACTAGAGGTTTAGCATAGTGGTAGAGCTTACCAAGCAAGCATAAAGCCTGGTTTTGACCCCATCACTATAAAAAGAAAAAAAAATTTCAAATATCATTTCACCTGGTCTCAAATATTTGTGTATCTAAAAACCTAAGACTATAAATGTTTTTGTTTTCGTAGATGATTCTTTTTCTGGACCAAGTCTTACAAAGAATTCCAAAAACAATAGAAAGGAAGCCCTGTTTTCATTAGAGTAGCCTGGAAGAGCCCTGCACCTCTGTACCGAGGTTCTCTATCAACAAAACAGCAGCTCCAAAGTACTAGAAACACTTGAAAGCCAAGAGACTACTTTGCCACCCCATGATTGACAAGGAGTCACTCAAAGACAGAGAATGGAGTTCACTAACTCCATTCTTGCTGACTAAAAAAGCAAACACAACACACAACACTACAGCAAACTCCTATTTCCCAACCCTCATTCATCTGCTGTGTCACTACAACACTATCTCTCAAGTTACACATGGGCTTCCTAGGAACCAGAGAGTATGTATCAATTGTCTCTGAGTCCGCTTGCTTCTGGATACCAATATATACATGTACCACCTGCCTGGACTAAAAGAAACACCTGACATTGTTTCCTTTATTAGAGCAGTGAGAAACAGCTCAAGGAGTGTCTATAAGGAAGCAGAATATGCAGTCTGAAGACTCCATTATTTCACTTTTGGATTTTATCCTGTGCCTCTTCAGACTTGCCTCTGCTCCTGAATTCTACCACTATCTGGAACTGTATCTGATCACTACTGTCTAATTCTTGTAGACAAGCTAGGAAGCAGTCAGATGCACACTAGATGAGGGAGAGGGAAAGATTCGTCTAAACATCTATAAAAGTAAATGGAAGAGTCAGGACTGGGGAGGCAGCTTCGTGAAGTGCTGCCTATGCAAACACAAGGATTCTAGGTGGAAGGCCCAGCACTCATATAAAATGCAAGTCCATGCCTGCAATCCCACAGCTAGGCAGGCAGATGCAGGAGGACGCATGTGGCTTGCTAGCCCGCCAATCTACCAAATCAGTCACCTCCAGGTTCAGTGAGACACTCTCAAAAAATATGGTAGACAAGCAACAGAGGAAGACACCTGGTATCAACCTCTGACCTCCACACACATGCACATATATAGGGGCACATGAATTTTACAATATTATCATGCGCGCGTACAGGTACACACACGTACACACACACACACACACACACACACACACAAAATGAAACAGCAAGTAGTAAAGTATCTGGCACAGTGTATAAGGAAAAATGCTTTAAAAGAGTCACAAGTAGGTATCCATGAAACAGAAGAAAAGACAAATGTACATATTAGACACAAAATGTCACCATAAGATGAGGAGAGTTTCAATGCTGTACACTATCCTACGTGTACACACAGGACAGAAAGCCTCCTGCACCAACATAAAGCACTAAAGATATTACCAAGCCTGTCGGAAAGATTCTTCTCCAGCAGCTCCCAGGATGACGTCTGGGACCCCAGAGTTGCCTGCAAGTTTTCTATCTGTCGAAGCAATGGTCTTGTTGTTGATGAAACACTTTGACTCAGCTCTTGGTTTCTATTCTCTGCTTCTTGTAGTCTCTGAAACAAAACAATCCCCACATCATTACCACTGACAGAGAAAAAAAACAGTAAAAACAACAGCAAACCTAAACTCCAGTTTTTTCCAAGAAAAAAAAATAATTAGCTATGTTACAAAAATAATACTGAATATACAGCAAATCTATCATGATAAAATTACTTCCTTTAAAACAAAATTAGAGATTTTCCTATTTTTTTTCCCAGGGGATCACTTTGGTTCATATATGCTACAAAAATATATCCAATTGTATGTATAGTAGTAATACTTTCAATCCAAGAATACTAGCCTAGAGAGTGGTCATGTTACTTCAAGAAGACACGCGTTTGGACTTGGAAAAGCTGTGGCAATACCTGCTGAAGCTCACTGATCTCGTGGCGTAAGTAATCCTCTTTTCTGGCAGCCGTTTGCTCTGCCCGCTGCAGTGCTAGCCTAAGGTCCCCCACCTGCAGGACAAACAACACTGTCAGAGCGCCGGCTGTAACTTCCTGCTGGTAGGAGACTGTACACGGAGCAACGGCCACGCACCCGTTCCTTAAGCAATGCTGTAGTATATTCACTACCTCCTTTGTTAAGACTGTCAGCCAAAGAAAAGCGTGCAGGTCTGCACAGCCCTGCTTACAGTAAAACAGAGCAGAGATCAGAACTAGATGAGCTATAAAGTTAACAAATAAAACTTAGGCACACACCTGTGAGCACAATATTTCCTTTTCTAGATCAGGTAGGCTACACAGAGAGTTTCAGATAGGTCTCTGCTACTTAGTAGACCCTAGCTAAACAACAAATCAAAACTAAAACTAAAAAAGAAAGAATTTGATGGTGTGTGTTTTTAGTAACAGCTATTTGGGAGTCTAAAACAAGAGTTGATGGTCACTTGCACAACACTGTTTCAGCACAAAAACAAAGAACAGTGCCACTCACACATAGCTGCCCACTTTGTAACTGCCACAACTTTTTTTTTTTAATGTTGTGGCATCATATTTGAATAATCAGAAATGATGTCAGACATCTATCTGGTCATTATAGTCCTGAAGACTTAAATCTATGGTGCAGAGATGCCCAGAGGCATTAGCAAGCCTGGCAACAACAAAATGAAACCAGAGCTCTAAACAGCCATCTGTTTTCAAATGTTGATACATGAACACAAGCATTAAAAATTACAACCAATGTATGAAATATTTTTTCATCCTAAATGGAAAGACTATCATAGCTATGATCATCAATTATAAAAAAAAAAAAAAAAAACCTAGATGGAGATAATGTTAATAAAGCAGAATATAAAATTAGCAATCTGTATATATCACAGTGGTATTTAAGAATGGCAGTCCCATACCCTATTCCTTATTCCTTCAATTTTTCTTTATTATTGTAATGCATTTTTAAATTGAAAGAATTTTTAAAGATTAAAAAGGGGGGTATGTGTGTATAAGTGTATGCATGTGCACACATTTGTACAGGCGCCCAAAGAGGTCAAAAGAGGGCACAGGACCACCTGTAACAGGAATTACAGGCAGTTATTAAACGGACATGTGAGATCGCGAACCAAACCTAGGTCTGCAAGAAATATGTATATATAAAACTAATTTATCCACCAAAAATGTAAAACAAAATCAAAAGTTACTTGAGGTTGCTGAGAGTAATTCTGTGTGTTTTGAATAGTGCTTGAGAAACTAGATGTTTGCGTACATAAGACCTACTGTGGGATGACGCTGTAGTGTAGCAGAACAGCATTTGCCTAGCACACAACAGGCCCTGGGTTAGAGCACCTGCCCTGATGAAATCAAACAAAACAAAATGTAATGAGTATCTACAGCAGCATCATTAGTGACAGCCAAAAGGTGTAAGGATCTTAGATGTGCTGGGCATAGTGGTGCATGCCTGTAATCCCTGCACTCGGGGAGGCAGAAGCAGATGGATCTCTGTGAGTTTGAGGCCAACACAGAGTGGGCCCAAGACAGCTAAGGCTACACAGAGAAACCCGAAAATCTCGAAAAAATTATCTCAGATGC